GAGCCATTTAAGTGAACAACATGACGTTTATGGAACAAAGGAGCTAAAAAAAGCGTGATAGGACCGGGGACATGATGTACCAGCTGCAAATACTTAAGGAAAAAAGTCTTGCTGTTAGAAATTTACTAATGGAAGATAGTTAATGTCTTGTTTCTTACAGCACATTTTTAGCTCTGCGCCATCTTCTCAAGTATTTTTATCTTCGTAATTGTACAATTCAGTGGATCATGGCTACAATCCCTGCCTATGGTACGTATTTTCGCTACGTCTTTGTTCTTCAAGTCTTTCAGTTTTTAGCAAACTCCAATTTAATTCAGTTCGTGCTTGCCTCTATAATCGTCGTAGCACTGTTGGGAATGTTCGAGAAATTTGAGCAACTCTCAAGATTGTGGAAGTTATCGAAAATTGATTTTGTAAGTTGAAAACGTTTCTAACAAATGAAACGAATCAAAATATTATTTACAGAGTATCTGGGTTGTCGCATTTGCTGCAACCGTAGGCATAGATGTTATGCAAGGATTGGCGATAGCCATACTATTTGCACTGTTCACTACCGTAATCCGGGAGCAGTGGTAAGTACAAATTGACTAAGTTTGTTAGCTCATTCATTTCTTTTTCCTATTTTCAGGCCAAGATGGCATATCCTAGCCAATATCTCGGGGACAAATGACTTCCGTGATATTGAACGCTACAAACATATCTATTTCTTCAATGTAATTTTTTACATAAATTTCACCGCTCTCTTCCGAATTTGTAGGGAACACGGCTAAATCATGTGTTTTTAGAGTGTTTGCGTACTACGATTTGATTCACCCCTTTTATTCACAAATGTGGATCGATTCCGAAATATAGTGGAAAAGCTGGCAAATGATTGGAACGGTATGAGATGCTGCGGGCAGTTAGATCCGAAAAAGGTTTTTGGAGAGGAGAATGAAGTAAGTAAAAGATAGCTTGAAAAAATATATAAATTAGCAGTTTTACCAAATATCTATGCGTCCGTTCAGAAATTCTTTGTTTCAGAGGGTGCTGATAAAGTGGTTTTAGGATCTTGCCAATTTACCGTTTGGTTTCTAGTATTGTCTAAACAAAAAAGTACATTAATTTGTTTGAAAAATCATATAACCTTATGAAGAGAAAGTCGAAAAATTCCAAAAGAAGATTTTTCCACAAAGCAATTTTCTGCACAAATTCAGAAAGGTTGCTAGTTAAATTCTTTTTCCAAAGCATTATAATGGGGCTTTATTAACTACCCCCTTGAATTACGGTGAGGATGCTGGAAAGTGCTTATACTATCTCCATATTGTGCCTTTGCACCATATGCTTTGATTCAGTGATAGAATGAAGAATG